GAAGTACTCACTCAAGTCAAGCTCTCTGCCAATGCCGCCCTCAGTATCAGTTGGACCCCCCACCTTCCGCTCAGCATCCTTGGTGTAAACATCATTGATCTGCTCAGCAATACTGCGACTAGCCTGCGGAGGATACACACGACGACAATGCTGCTGGATTGTGTGGTTGAGATTATATAGGACTTCTTGAACGACGCGGTCGGGGATAGCCTCATCTGACGCGTCGTTGGTTTCTTGCCATGAGCGCGATGGAGCGATGGGCTGAGAAAGAAGGGTTGTTTGGCTGGTGATGAAAGATTGCTTCACCGACGGGATTGTCGGTGCTGCTGGGCGAGATGACATGGTGATATTCTTTGTATCCTTGATTCTGATGATCGTGATGACAGTTGGTATTGATGATGCTTGGTCAATCACGTGTAAAGAGATGGACGTTCAGAAGGGTGTTCACTAAGATCAGCACATATTCAGTGGGTGAACCCCCCAACGGACCCCCGCCTAAGAGTTTGGTTCTTCATCACATCGGGTGATCATCTAAAGATTGTAAGTCCAGTCTTCATGAAGATACTCAATATGAGTTTAGGTAGCTTCAATGTTTTCATAGAAGCAGTCAATGAAGCCATGAAATCAATTATTGCTAGCTTGCCGAGACGATAAAACCCGCAAAGAGAATGGAGTCAGCCATGAAGCAAACATCCAATACCTGCCATCACCACTTTGCATCATTGCTTCGTTGTTCAGACAAAAGGCTGGTATTTATGAGATCTGTATCTGAGTAAAAGTAATTCTGTCAGTTTTATTGATTCCAGAGATAATCACTCGTCATGGATACATGTTCTCAACCCATTCAACAGGGCCAGTGTCTTGATTATATCGAGCAGGACAAGCATTCATCAAGACCAGTTTCACTCACCGACATCGATATCCTCATCATCAATAAACCATCACCGCCTGATAGATAGTATGTACTACATCGGAATCTAATAGCATACTCTAAATCCAGCACAACAAGCAATAAACGCCAGGATCCAGCCCAAGAGTCACACACCGGAATCTCGAGTCGTCAATCCCCCGCCTGCCGTACGCCGACAAATCCACGATGCTCATGCCAACGAAGCACATTCTCGTCAAGCCATACTCGCTTTCGCTAACACAGTATCGCAAGATGCATCCATCCCCTTAAACGCCAGCGTCCCAAACTAACCACCTTTCCCTCAACCGTTGATAGGTCCCCCAAGCGACGACGAGCGGAACAATACCGCACACGCGAAGGCGCACAAAGTATTGAGCCACTAACTTAGAGTAAATCAACAACCTCAGCCTTTCGGGTGCCGACATGAGTTGTTTTTGTGGTGATTTCTTTTATGCGGAAGTGTCGGGGCTTGGTATTTTCGTTTTCTGGTGCGGAATCCGGTTTGGTTTACTGATGGTAGCGTCATTGACTTTACACAGCCCATGCGTGGGAGTACAACGGGCGGGTTTTTGTACTTAATAGGTTTGAGATCCATATTTTGAAAAATACCCTATTATAATGATGCGTTTTGTAAAGAGTTGCGTTTTATTGTTTTGAAGTTGAATGACGACAGTGAAGCTTTAAAGTGGTCATCTTCACTTGCAGGTTCATCGTCGGTGCTAACACTGCATTGCGTTGCAAACATACCTACACAGACACAGACAACAAGGTGCACTGTGTTGTGTTTGTATAGAGCCAACACTTTATTTCTCACTTGGCACATGAGCTGAACTTCATTTCACGCTTAATCTATAGACATATCTTTAGAGCATGCCTCTTGTTCTTGCATCTTTGTTTCCCAGGCCCCAAACAATATTGTCGCAAACGAAACGAAAGAAACTGTTTCTCGCTTCTTCTTAGGCATTTTCGCAAATAAACTTTAATATGGCGCTCAACGGCCCGGGTGTCTATCACCGCACCCGAGAGCATGAACAAGAAGACGCTTCAAACATCACCAAGAACATCCTCGCCGAATCATGGAAATCATGGCCCAACGAAGCTGCTGTAAGTTCTTCCCTCTCTGACCTAAATACTGAAACTAACTTGTCCAGTTTGATCGTCTAGAAGAACATCGTGGTCCTCTCCGCCTAACTCTCAAAGGCACCATCCCCTCATGGGCAGCTGGTTCTCTCTACCGCACTGGTCCCGGCCAAAGTCGCGTTGAAGACACAGCTCGCGGCACACACTTCACAACCCACTGGTTCGACGGCTTTGCACAAACTCATCGCTTTGACATCATTCCCTCTGAAGATGGCGAGACACAAGTGTGGTACTCATCAAGACGACAGGCTGATGAGTGGATCGCTGATGTGAAGAAGAAAGGATGGCGATCAGGAATGACGTTTGGACAGAAAGCAGATCCTTGTGTTGGGATCTTTGCAAAGGTCATGACTGTTTTTGAACCAAAGTTGGGGAATCATAATGTCGCGCTTTTGGCGAATGTTCCTGGTGTGCCAAAGGATGACAAGGCGGAGGAGTTGACAAATGGAGTGACAGGGCCTCTTGGACATCGAGTCAACACGAGCAATCTGTTTGTTTCTACAGATTACACTGGAATACGGCGTATAGATCCTTCAACTCTTCAACCCCTGGGCGAGACCACGCAATACGATCTTCACCCCTCGCTCAGCGGTCCCTGTTCCTGCTCTCACGCCCAACGCGACCCCGACTCAGGAGACCTTTTCAACTTTAACCTTGCATTCGGCCGAGTTCCAACATATCGAATCTTCAGAGTCGACGCCGCTTCAGGCGAAACAGAGGTCCTCGCTACAATCTCTGATCTCAATGTTCCACCGGCGTACATGCACAGTTTCTTCCTCACAGAAAACCACATTGTGATATGCATACCCGCATCACAATACGCATGGAGAGGACTAAAGACACAGTGGGAGGGAAACATAATTGATTCTATGAAGCCATTCGATAAGGAGAGGAAATGCAAGTGGCTAGTTGTTGATCGCCGCCACGGAAAGGGGCTTGTCGCTACTTTTTCAACGCCGGCTGCTTTCTTCTTCCACAGCGTTAATGCTTTTGAGAAAAAGGTCAAAGATGAAGATGGCACTGAGCAGACAGATCTTTTCTTCGATTTGGCCAAGTATGACAATATGGATATCATCAAGGGCTTTTACTATGATGTTCTTATGGATCGCGACGACGCTACGAAGAAATACTGGTTCAAGAATGACCGGTACAAGAACTGTGCACCAACTCTCACAAGATACCGCTTCAGATTGCCTTCAAAACCAACACCAGATACAAAATTCTCCGCCAGCGCAGAACAAGTCCTCGCCATTCCTAGTCCACACGCAGGCGAGCTCCCAACCATCCACCCCCTTCGCACCGGCAAACCCTATCGCTATGTCTACAGCGCCTCACTGCGCGGTCTAACAACCTCAGTTGACGCTCTGGTAAAGACAGACTTGGATACCAGCGAGGCTTTCATATGGACGGGACCTGAAGGACATACCCCTGGCGAGCCGGTCTTCGTGCCAAGGCCTGGAGCAGAGGAAGAAGATGACGGGATTATCTTTAGTCTGGTTGTCGATGGAGTTAATGAGACGGCGTATATACTGTGCTTGAATGGAAAGACTATGGAGGAGATGGGTAGAGCAGAGGCTGATTTTGCGATTGGGCAGGGATTTCATGGCATTCATTTGCCAGCTGCTTAAATCGAAGATTATAATCGAGCGATGCATGCATATAGATAGACATGGGTATACCAAGAGCGAACATTCAATCTTATAGACAGAAAGTATTCCCTTAAGCAAATCATAGCACGTTAAGAACTACCGTGGCCTTATATCGTGTTCTTCACCCCAAACCCGCACTTACACCACCCATCACAGTCCATAAATCCTCAAATTCGATACGAAAACCCCCACGGGCACTCAATATCCCTCTCCCAAAACCTCGGAGCCCAATATCTCAAATCGATCGAGCTACCCCGCGAAATGCAACGGTGGCTTTACTTTTTTGGTGGAAAATGGCCTGATGCTGACGCGCTACGGAGGATTTTTTAATCGAGCAGTAACTGGACCTTGCATGAGTTGCGGCAGGGATGAGAGATCTCTTTTTTTGCATATGAAGCTGGTACCAGAAAGCCAATGTGTTTGTATACACGAATTTGAGACTTGGAAGTGAAGTTATTCACTGTTATTGGACTTGTTGCTTGTATGCTGTGGTGGGGTGATTGATAAGGAGTCTTGAGGGTGAATCACGAGATTGGGACTGGGATCGCTTGCTATTGATTGGACAGGGTCTCAGGAATTGGGTTTATGGAGAGATCATCTGGAGATGAGCACAAGGTTCATGGGTTAAATCGTGGTGAGCGCTCACTCAGCTCATGATGATCATGAGGCTCCAGAAACGAGGTTATCTGACCTAAGAAGCGAGGATGCTCGGTGACCGAGGCATGGACCCTGAAAATTGCACGATTGATAACATGAGCCGTATCACAACGACAGTCCCATCTCCGCGGAAGCCGTGAGTTATCACCCCATCAGATAACAGCTTGTCAATCTTCACTGACTCACGAAACAATAACATACTCATTTGATGAAAACATTTGACATTTCGTGCTTGTAGCTACTATTTGATACAGTTCATCTCATTCTACCGACCCCGCTCCAATGTAGACAGACCCCCTTCTTCGTCGCATCCCCTGTAAGCCCAATCACAACCATAGTGATTTCAGATAGATAATAAAATAAAAGAACCCCTGACTCCCAAATACTGATCCCATGAATGTTGCGGATAAAGAAGGGAAAGACTAGTCAGACGTGTTGCGTCAGACAATGTTGTTCCAGACTAGATCCAAAGATGACTCCCCTCCTTCGTTGATGTTCCGAACGACTTTCTTCTTTTCATCCTGCCTCAAAGAGGGTATCATTTCCTAGTTTCCCAAGTATTGTGACATGGCGTAAAAGCAATGTGATGTGATATTCGTGTTTTTTTTTTTTACGTTGAAATTTGCTTTGATCAATTACCACGTTTAAGCAGCAGCGGCGTCGGCCTCGGGAAGCTTCATGCCGGTACCGCTGAGGTTGCTGACCTTGGCGTTGGGGTTCTTGGTGTAGTAATCTGAGATGGCAGACTTGATGGCATCCTCAGCAAGCATGGAGCAGTGCACTATCGAATTTAGTTAGCATCACAGTGCGCAATATACCGCAATTAAGCAAACGGTAAGCGAGATATGAGGGTAGTAAAACTTACGCTTGACGGGGGGTAAGCAGAGCTCCTTAGCAATCTCAGTGTTCTTGACCTTGCCGGCATCATCCAAGCTCATGCCGCGCACGAGCTCAGTGAGATAGCTGCTGGAGGCGATGGCGGAACCACATCCGAACGTCTTGAACTTAACCTCAGAGATCTTCTGGGTTTCAGGGTCGACGCGGATCTGGAGCTTCATGACATCGCCACAGGCCGGGGCGCCGACGAGACCAGTTCCGACATCAGCATCCTTCTTGTTCATGGAGCCGACATTTCGGGGTCGCGAGTAGTGGTCGAGGACCTTCTCGTGGTAGGAGCGGGTAGCGTTGACGGCGACGGCGGGAGAGATCTGGCGGGTAGGGAGGATGGTAGGACGGGCGAGGGGAGCAGCGACAGCAGCTCGCCGCGAGACAGCGCGAATTCCTCTAGCGAACATTGTGATATGTGTTGTGTTGTGTGGTGTATTTGTAGGTTTTTTTTGGTTGATATATCAAGGTCGTCGAATATCAGGTTGTGCGTAGGTCGTGTGTTTGTCAGGATTGATGCAAGATGCAAGAATGGAAAAGTGAAGTGATGCAAAGATCAGAGAGTTGAAGTTGAATGGGGAGGCGAAAAGCGATGACGGAGGGAGGATCGAGTCTGGGGGTTTGGCCTAAAAAAAAAGATGCTGTTCTCTTGTTGCGGGCGGGACTTGAGAGAGGAGATGGCGATTTCGGGCAATGGGTTGCGGTGGTGTGGAGTAGACTGGGGCCAATCAGTGAGCTTCGATTGCTCGGCCATTACGTCTTTATTAGCTCGGTACTCCTCGGAGAAGAGAAGAGAGACACAGATTCAAGACCCGCCTAATTACTTCCACTTCTCTTTATTGACGTTTGCCTTTATGAGCCTTCGATGTTGTTATTTTACTGTTTATTTTATTATCTATTCTTTGTCAATCATGCTCTCCTACTCTCAGTAACGATGGAGCAAAGTCAGTCCGATTGGATTCACAGGTGAGGAGTAAACCGAGAGCTTAGACGTAGGTTGTGGCCGGGGACCCGGACTAGTCTGCATCTGATAAGATGCCAGCCAAAACATTCATTACTAATGACATGCCGAGGCGAATCACACATCGTCATGGACCATGGAGCGGCAATTTATCCGTTTGTTTCTCGATCCTTCAGGCGGTCCATCGGTATTCTTCTCCGTACAGACACTGTAGTCTCAACCCTAAAGTGCAGATCGATTTATTACTGGCCAAATGAGAAGATGCTGATAGTTAATGGAGTAGTTGTTGAACTTCGGTGTAAACCCGGCGACATCGGCGTTGGCGCACGTTACCGGCGCTGGGAAATGATTTGTTAACGTGCATGGCTTTTTTCCATCTGATAAGGCCAACAGGAGATTGATAAGTCAACACAACTTCGCCTTACACAGTCCGCCGGGTCATAGATTGAGGATGTCTACCTTCGGGTAAGAATGCTATCAATCAGCCCGAGACCGAAAGTAAATGTCAATTGTCAATGCATGATCTGGTACTAATTTGCGACTCGGACTGTCAGATCAAAGACGAATTGCAAAGTTGGTGGATCTCGGTCGTTGAAATCCCCGCTCGCTTTTTGCACGGAGTCGGGGATATGCTCCCGGACATTTGGCACTTCAACGCAAATGGGTTACATCGATCTGTATGCAGCTGCAACATTGTGACGTTAGCTCAATATGTATATCACATGTGGCATATTTTATTCACTGCCGACATTTCGTGATGCTTCGGTGATGCGTTGGAATTCCTAAAGTGTTATACCCTGATCAGAACTCCGGGGTCAACCTCCGACGACCCGGCTTGACTGCCAGAAGCTGCCAAGTCATTCATTCAACTACAAAGAGAATCTATACAAGTATATAAAATGTAGAACATTCTACGTATTTTTATAACAGCAATGCATTCTGGAAGCTACCCCAGCGTGGTATAATGTCAAGTTTCTCTTTCTTTCCCCATTACTGATGAGGGAACTCTCTTCTATGTGGATGCCTCCCGGAGCAAGAAAACTTAGGATCTCTACTCTAAAAGCAATTGAATAATTGATGTAGATCTCGTAAAGACTTGAGTGGCTGCAGAATTAGCTATTTCTAGTAGGGGGTAAGGTCCTCAGCTTTTTTGCCTTCCTTCACATGGATCGTATCTCAAACTGTAAGTGCATATATGGACTGGTACCTCGCGATATGAGAAATACATATCTATGGGGATTATGGAAAGCCATGTTCTTCACAAAGAGAATAGCTTCTTACATGTTGATGGCGACAGGTGCTTCAAGATCGAGCTTCCATGTATTGTCATTAGATCCATAAAAACAATCAGCACTTGCAATTTGATAATACCTCGTATCTGCCTATTATTCAAGCCTACCAATGTCCACATCCTTTCCAAAGCGGTCTGTTTGGATTATCAAGATTCCGATGCTACTGACTCTTCAGCAAGAAGCACTTCTGTCAGCTGAGTTAGTAGTGGAAGCCAGCTCTCGAACTGATCACCTCCGCACCGATAGAGACCAACCCCAAGCTTAACCACGCCCAACTCAAGATCATACTCCAAGGTCCAATGGTCAGATTCCAATTTCTTCTCAACAATACGATCCCAATGGCTTGAAAATGGCTCTGGAATCTTGGGATGTTTGGATGTCTATTATTCCGTTAAAATGCATGGCGTGAAAGGGTATAGCTTCTTTGGATGACACTTACTCGAATCACCTTCAGTAACTCCATCAAATCTTCCGCCCTATCGCTCTGGATTGCCGACCTCAAGTTGGGTGCAAGCCGCGGCTCGGGCCATTGTTCTGCGCATTTTCTTTTCCAGACGTCTCGGACACCGACCATAACCTCGATCTTCAATACCGGATACGGCTTCTTGGATAGGCCTGTTATCTTCAGATTCAATGCATCAAGACTGATTTGCTCGGAAATGTCCCAAAAGCGGTCGTTAATGTCATAGGCCAAGTCAGAGTTGCACATTGTGCAGCATGTGTGATGCAGACCAGCTTGGTCGAAATACATTTGCCGCAGAAGTGTGAGGGAAACTTGCTTTACTCTTTCCATCGCCCCATGCCTTTCTGATACCTCAAGCCACGCAAATGCCCTTAACGAACAGGCCATCCACTTGGGAGCGTGATTGATGTATACGCAATTATCCCGGGGCGGGAATTGTACCCCTTTGTCAAGGATGAACCGCAAAGTTTCTAACGATTCTGGAAACTCTTTCCAGCTGCATGTTTCAAGGTCATGGAGCAACCTGTCAGTGACATCCCAGCCCCAGCCGGTTTGTAGAAGTGCGTCGCCGCCATTCGCAAAAGCAATCTGGAACAGGAACGGATCATGTAATGATGAGAGGTGGAGAAGTAAATCCCCCATCTTTTGATTGAACTCGGTAAAGCCTAGTTTCATGAGAGCTCTCGCAGATTGGGAATCGCGGGTCATGTGCATCAAGGTTGTGCCGTCGTCGAAGGCGAAGTTGGGGCTGCCGAGTGTGGAAACCACTCGGGACCAGAAGTTAATACAGCCGTCTTGAAAGTCGGAGACATGTGCAGAGTAGCATTCTTTGTCCACAAAGATCCGAGAGTGTAAAAGCAGGTCTTTGAATAGCCGAGGTATAAGATTTGGATGTGATGCTGAAGCGAAGTCGATGATCTGCCACACCACATTCCAATCGGGCCAAACACCTTCATGGAAAATAGTGTGACCAGTTACAGGGAGCAATAATTTGGCGCCATTCTCAATAAGAATCATAACTGAATCTGGCACATTTGCTGTTGCCGCATAGATCAAAGGAGTCGTGCCGTTCTCATCGCTCAAGTCAACTGGATGACCAGCAGCCAGGAGTTGAGCCACACGCGAAGGTTGGAAAACGGCGATATGAAATGCTGACTGGCCCCGAAAGTTCACGACCTTTTCGAAAGGTTGTGTGTTTCTCTCAAGACAAAACTTGAAATCTTCATCCGATCCAAATAAGAGCGAAGTATGGAGGGGAGGGTTATCCCCAAAATCTTGGACATCTTCTATTAGACCAATCATGTATTGAAGTTTCCTGAGATAGTTGCTTACTCGAATTTACTGCAAGAAGTGTTTTCGTAAAGTGCAAATGGAAAGGGTCATCTCTACAAGTGTAGGGCAAATTCCACACGTCCCTAGTCGGCCCAGCATTCGCGAAATCGCACCCAAGAGCAGTGAGAGAGAAGATAGGGCCCTCATAGCCCCCGTAGAGCACCATCATTTCTTGGGCTTGCTGCAAGAGGCTTCAAAATGTCAATTAAATTGTACCAAAGTAGCGTGGTAGGTATTGAATACTAGCCCTATGCTGTGGGACGCTTCTTTGGTCCGAAACAATACGACAAAAGCTTGGATGATATTTGACAGAGTGTCTAGATTGATAATATGGGCGAAAGCGTGGGATCTATACCACCCGACGGCCCTCTACAGCTCAAGTTAGCAACACTCCAAACTTGTGTAAGGGAGACCATCCTCAAGATATCCACGACCTAATGGATCAACCTGATTCACAAATCCAGGGCAAGCCTTGTATAGATCTTTGAACTCAATCTCGGCAGTTGCCCAGTCTATTTCTTCGAAGGCCAGCTTCTCCAGAATTACAAATCCAGGTGCATCGAAGTCAACGACAGTTTCGATCTGTAGACATGGTTGTAGAGAATATCGCCCTGGCTCGGTGATAAGATCAAATCCAAGGGCTGCTTTCAACGGGACCCCATAGCCATACAACGTCAACCGAAGATTAAAACGGTAACGCCTTGCAGAGCAGGCCGGATTGTCACAGGCCTTGAATATCTCGGCGAGCGGAGAGTATTGCAGACGCCAGAATATGCCACTCGCTGTGCACTTTTTATGACATGAGCAACTACAGTTGCATGTCGAATATTGAAAGATTCCATGCTCAAATGCCGTAGTAGTGCCAAGGCTACTATCGTGGGAGGCAGTCTCTGTTGATAGAGCAACGATTGAAGTTTCCGACGGTGTGCTATCCACTGTGGCCAGCGATTTCCGGCTATTACGCATGTATAAGTGTTGCTGAATAATGTAAAGCCTGTAGATTCGATAGTTAGGTTTACTTCTCACTGCGGAGAGCGGAGGAGTAGTGTACTGTGATATGTCTTGCTTAAGACCAGTGACAAAAACCTGAAGGTCATCAAGCTCGCCCTTCCATTGACTTGACCTGAATGTAGTTCGTATAATCTGTCTTCTGGACGAGGTTTCTGGTATACCACCAGCCAGATTCGTTAAGCGATCTGCTACTCTTATAGAGCGGTCTCGACATCTCCCCATCATGATTGGGCCAAGCTGCTCTTGCATGATGTCGTCTGCGCTGGCTTCGAGTTGCATGAGTTGTTTACCGATGAGCTCGACATCTTCACTCAACCAAGTGATGTTGCCCCCAAAGCCTTTGACGTTCTTATAACGCTGTCGCAGTTTCTGGCCGCCATCGACTAACTGGAGTGCTAGAGAGGCAAGTCCAGCTCCGCCAGCGACGATGCCCAGAAGCTCTGCCATCAGGTGAAATTCTATATGATTGACTTGCTGATGGTGCCAATGGATAGTTGAAAAGATTACATAGAGCTCGCTCGCTGCTGGCTGATGGTGCATTCTGCACAGCCTGATCAGGCTCTCAGATGCAACTTGCTATTGGACGGCAAGGCTCTCTCGGTTCCTCTGCAGGCTATTGAGGAAAGAGTCAACAAAATTACATGCCTACATAGGTAATTTACAAAAGCAAGAAACAAAAACAATTCAGTGGCAAGGCATTCTGGACATGCCGAGCCAACAAGGCTTCCTGTAAGGCGTTACTACTAGACCCTCCACCATAGCCAGACAGGGACTTTGGATGGGTTTTCGACCAGTATAACATGTCACCTCGAATGCTCGTGGTTTTAGAAACGAGATCTGATACTTGAAGCATCGCCACGTAACGAACGGCACAGCGTCGTAAGACCAAGCCAAGCTTACTATCCTAAATAGGAGGCGGGTTCTAGCGAGCGATGCAGGTCATTACAACACGTCTATTGACCTGTACATCTATCTCCCTTATTTCTCGGCTTTGGGTTCAAATGCCATCCTCCATAATAGTTTACTGTCCCCCCTGGGTAGCATTCTTATCGACCAGCGACGAGTACTCCTGCAACGCAACTTCATCCAGCGCACCACGCCACTCAACGACCTTCTCCCCATTAACACCCCTCCGCCCCTTCTCCATAGCCCGACGCATAACCAGCGGATCAAAGAACAAAGGCTCATCAGCTCGACCAAGGATGGGCACCACTTCCGCCAGCTTTCCACGCCAGAAGCCAAAGCGCGCGTGGATGCCAACACGCATACGGAAGCGACGGGATCGGTGTCTGATGATAAAAGGTACTAACAGATAGTCCGGAACTCCAGCCTTGTCCACGGAACTCTCTTCGACACGGACATGCAACTTGTTCTGCCCGGGTCCTTTGTGTGCTACCTTGACCTTGACGGCTCCGGTCTTCGTCCAGGTGCGTGACTCTCCGATGTTGTAGGAGATAGAAGCAGGAGTGTAGCCTACTTGCAAGCCGATTCCGTGTGTTAACGACACCTCAGCGGATTGCGGTGTACCCTCCCAACCACTGGGGCTTGGGAATGCCTTGACAATTGCTGGATGCGGAAATTCCTCCTCCTCGTAATCACTGTTGCTACTATCTGAATCCTCCTGAACACTCTGTGCATCATCTCTCGGTGCATCTTCGACAAGGACGTGGATGTCAACCGTCTGTATACGTCTGAGCCAGCTTCGATTTCCGCCTGACAGCGACAAGTGCAACTGCAGCTGGACAAGATACGCCGGCTCGTTGAAGTAGGTTCCGGCGAGGACAGGTCTTTTGAGTGCAGCTTGTAGAAGGCTGGGCGAGTCACCAGCTGATATAATCATTCGTGGTTCAGAGAGTTGGGCCGTGTCATTCGTCTGCGGTGCTGAGAGCTGTCCTGCGCCATCATCATCGATTGACACAGTCAATGGTAGAAGGACTGGGGACGTGAAGTTGGTGTCATCAGCGTCGCTATCGAACACAGACGACGGGATTGGTGATTTCGAATTGTCAGAGAGATTCGCCATTATGCCAGACCAATGGAGGCGCTTATTGTGCAAGTGAGATTGAAGCTCTTGGTAGAGGGCCAGCGAATGTTGAACGATTTTACTGAATATAAGTTGTCTTTGAATTCGCATAGTCTGAGCCGTGGAATCCGGTCTAAGATCAACACGTATACACCGAGATATATACTGCACTCAGCCTCACTACAACACCACGTTTCATTGCGCGTCTAGAATCAGGCTCCTGGATCTAGACCACCACGCCACCAGCGCGTAACAGCGATTGCAACGTATCTCGTGAATCTAAGTCGTCCCGAGCATCCTTGTCGTGCACATTTATTGCTTTTTCTCACGCATCACAATGGACGCTATTGACCGATATCGTCCGATAAGATCAGTGTGACTTCCCCTCAACTCCCGGATTCGAAAGAAGCTGAAACGAGCTGAAAAAAGTGCATGTTAGACAAAGCTGTGAGGCCAAAGAGCAAAAGATGAGGGGATATAATATGAGAAGGATAGTATAATAAGATTGGTATGGCTTTGTTGTAAGAAGCGACACAACATTTCCAAATACTCAGCATCATCTCGATCTTTGTCTTAAACGCTGTTCTCGCTTACTCTCATCTCACTTGGGCGTTTCTATTATTTTTCAAGACCCAAAACTTCAAAATGGACGTACCATTGGAACAAATGAGTGAGATGTCAATATCTCCTCACTACTGGGGGATATATACCTCTCTGTACAGCTCATTGCCTCCAGAGGCCGTCAAACAGCTTGAACGTGCCATCTGGCTCAAGATGTCAGGTCTCGCAAACGAATCCAGAGCAATATTTGACAATGAGCTTCGGCCTTTTGCAGCAGTTCCGGTTGTCGCCATTGAGCACGCTGACCTCGAGTTGGAGGCGGGCAAATGGGGCCGGGCATGGCACATCCTAGACTCAAAGCTTTCACAGCTGCGAGAGGCCAAAGAAGACTTCGAATCACCCGAACATCGACTCATGCTTTTGACGTGGGCCATGCTCGGGACGAGACATCGAGGTGATGTGACGTCGTCAAAGATAGAGATTGAAACGACGCAGCATTGGCTTTCTGGAGTACCTGTAGCGGATTACACTGATGTCCAGGTACGGCAGCTGTCTCCAGACCCTCAAACTTGATTTGACGACCGACCTAACATCGTGTTTAGGCAGGCTGTGTTCGAAGATATGTCATCGCAAGCCTGTTCACCAGGCTATATTCGGGATACAATAATCCGGAGGCAGAGCACATCCCGCTACATGACGTGACAGACGCTTCAGGTGAAAAGATACCTTGGGGTGGGTTGCGACTGCTGCGGCGCTCTCTGACGCAGCGAGGCATGTTCAACGAGGCCAATGCCCTGTTCCGCGTGGAGCTCAATCGTACGCCACCAGAAGACCGAGGCCCTGTGGTCACCGAGTTTCTGGAGGCTGTAGCAAGCATCCCTCCGAGTCGAGGTCGGGACTACATCGAGGCAGTTGTTCGCCTTCAGTGGGCAACCACACACATTCAGCTGCAAGAGCAAGAGAGCGCCGCTCAGGAGTTCGACAACTCTGAGGCGGCTTTCCAGAGGTTCTGCGATAACTTTGGTATCGGAAACATGGAGGCCACACCGCATATGCAAGCAATGGCGTACGAGAGGTTGTCATGCATCAACGACCCTATCGACAAATTAGAGCGAACAGAGGCGCTAGCCACTCACATGGAGGCTGTCGACGGCACGAAGACTGGCTATTGCTTAGCGGCTGCTGCAGATCTGTCCAGGAAATATTACGAGGTCACTGGAATGGAATTGTTCAGGACCACGTATTTTGACGTGCAGACGCGCCTCGATACGTATGACCGGACGGTATCGGAGGATATTTGCGATCTGGTTCATCATCATGTTGGCCTCAACTCCGTTGCCCTCGCGAGCCTGATGGATCGTGATAGCGCTCTCGACTGGGTCGATAACTTCTTTAATGAGTATCCGCACTTCGACGCCCCAGTGGTGCGGGCGTTGCTCCTCAGGAGTCAGGCATCACTCCTGCGAAGTCTTCGTCGACAGGATGAAGCTGGTAGGGTAAACGAGGAGGCAAGTCAACTGGAGACATCCACACCATCGGTGGGAAATTGGATGCATTCGAGGCAGGGCTACCGAAGGAACACCACTTCTTCTGCGCAGCCAGATCCCCAGCCTCAGATTCAGGACGACGATGGGGATGAGACATTCTATTGGGGTTGGAGCGATGCCATTGGAGATCAGGCAAAGTTGCAAGAAATGTCCATTCAGCTGGTACTGAAGTGGCTACTTGAAGATATCACCACTGGGAACTCGGTCCTTGAAGAGTTCAGAGGCGTGACAGAAGCCGTCTTGAAAACTATTGTCTTCCCCAAAGTCACGGATATCGATGAGCCCACAGAGGAACGGTACAAGCGTCTCTGTTCATGGCTCAGTAAGCCCCCGGTGCACCAAAAGAACCGTCGACTGTTCTGCTTGGTCATGCTCAGATTCGGGAGGCAGATGCACTTTTCTGATCTAAAGCTCTGGGACCTTCGCCTCTCTGAGCTCAAGAGACTACTCGAGCTCGAAGAAAGCCTCCCCAAGATCGTCCGAGACAAGTTTCCAGGCAACAAGGGCAGTTGGCTAGCCCAAATCGCACTCACATACATGGCACCGCTAGATGACTTGGCGGACTTTACCGGCGCTGAATCAGGAGAACGATTGGCAAATGCTGAAAGATACAACGACCGTGCTCTGGCTGAGTTTCGTGGAAGCAAAGACCTGGTTCGGGTGGCTCTTCATCAGCGATCTGGGGCGCAAATCTGCATGTTCATGATCAGACGGATAAGACAATTAGAGGAGCAAGCAGCGAGCTCCAGGAATACCAAAGGTGGAATGGTAGACAATGGGCCCAAAAAGGCAGAGAACGATACTTCCTCTCTTTCAGATTATGCCAAGGCAAAAATCCACGACCTCCGCAAGAGAGGAATCAGTCAAGCCGAAGAGGCTTATGTGATATTTTCGTTGAGCGAGCTCCATGCTTCCTCCAGTTCAGGCCTGGAAGGGATCACACACCGGCAGAGCATCACCGCATCTAATGCCAATGCATATACGATCCTCACAGCCATCGAATTGCTTCTCGCGGCCCCAGGTGAACCGTCTGATGAGACTATCATAAAGATATGGCAATGGGTGCAGAAGTACAAAGCACGTTCATTGGCGCGGACCATCGGGGTGCGTATGTCTATTCCAACTGAGATGGTGGATAAGATCAAGGCTTGTCCTGAAGCTGCACCCGGTTACTACGAGATGCTGGAGCTTGAACAGCGTGTGGAGAAGGCTCAGGGGATGGCCAAGTTCGATCTGCGTAGGCAGCTGGACAAGCATCGTCGAAACATGAGAGAGACGCACGACTTGCTGAGGCAACTCCTCGACTTGAGAGAGGC